GACAGCCGGCCGAGGCGCCGGCTCAGAGTGGAACCAGGGTCGGCGGCGTGATAGGGCCAGCGCGGCGGACAAGGGCAGCACGGCGCGGTGGACTAGGGCGACGCGGCACAGCGGGCTACTGTAGGTCGGGGTAGGCTACGGTATGCTAGGGCGGAAGCACGGGTGGGTGGGACCTACCTAGCATGATACCATCTCAAAGTAGCTAAGTGAACTAAGCAAGGGCGTACAGGGTGTTATTTGAGTTGTGGGTTGTACTCTCTCAGAGCACATACTAGTCTAGCCTATAACTAGACATACATTACAAATGTATAAGTTGACACACACCACACACCCAGCACCTCTAAGCCCAGCACCCCCAAGCCCAAGCACCCCCATACCCAGCAGCAGCTGTGGGATTCTACAGTACCCTACAAACACTACCAAGTTGTGGGCAACGAGAAATTCGTAATCTCAGATGCGAAATGGTGAAGCTGTGAGGGTAGATTTCTTCTCTATCAAGGTTCTAGTCAGAACTTTAGTTGGGCTCCAACTGCCAGAAAATCTACTCAATTTGTGCGAAAATGAATGAATCACACGTTCCTATCTTTAGGGGTGTTGTTTTGTCACAGCTCAGGTGCTGTGCACGTACTGCAAGCCTCTCGCTAAGCCCCAGAGTATTCCGAAAGGGGACGGAATCGCTTCTGAATTACCCATAACAGACGGAATCCAAAAAAAAAAAAAAAAAAAAAAAAAAAAAAACCACGTTACGGAAAGGAATCGACCTCTAAAAAATCGTCTAGCAAGGAATCAAAGGCAGGAAAAGGGGGGAGGGGAGGGCAGGAGGGGAGAGGGTGGGTTTTGTTTTTTGTTTTTGTGTGTGTTTTTTATTATCATTATTATTATTATTATTATTATTGCCACCAGTTCGTCAAATTCGAAAGCATGTACAACGCATACACAATGCCCAAACCCAAGCTACTACGAAAAAATAGCCATACGACAACACCAAGACGTGCGGACGGGAATGGGGGAAAGGAACCCGGCTCGGGAAGGAGGACAACACCAAATAAGGTCAGGGAACATCGAGGGTGTCATGCTCGACAAAAACTAAAGCAACACCCGTTCCCAACAATTCGATGCTAGACCCTCAAGTCCACCATATATCGCGCATCCGCCCATAGAGCGCCCCACCTGTCCTCCCGCTCCCTCCCCTCCCTACCCGAACAGACCATGTCAGAACCACTGAGCATCGTCGCTGCTCGCAGTAGAATGATCCGGGCATGTGCCCGATGCAAGGTCACCCCGAGCGCAACCTTCAAAGACCCAACTAAATTGGCCGTAAAAGCATTGCCATCGCCCCTCCCCACTCCCTTGGAAGCCGCCACCTGGAGTTGCACATCCCCATGCTGCTGCAACCACCACCGAAATCCCTCCCCCAAACAACCCCAAATCTCAGCGATTAGGGGGGTAACAAGGGCTTGTAATCGAGCACCTTCCTCCGCTCCCGCTCTCGGGGAGCAAACCCCAATGCACGACCAATCTGGCCGTTCTGCTGCGTGCACATGCGCCTCCCCCTCCATGTGCCGACGAACCACCACATACACAAGCTTACCCAGCAGGAGAGTATCAGGGCGTATTACTACTGTCCAGGATCAGGATCAGCATTCCTGATCCTAGTTCCTGATCCTGCCATTTTGCAACCTGTAGATCAACAACCGAGGTTTTTATCGTAAAGTGCTGCCACATGTGACGCAATGCGACATGAAGTTGCTGTGAATCGAATTCGCAATATGCTCCTTGATTGGTTGCAAAAAATTATTCGGCTGAAGGCACATGTCCGACTCGCAACCGCGGGTTTTGAACGCTCACAGATTCATTTACGTGCCCGTCGCTTGCTTTCCGGGCCGAGCTTGCTCGCGCGGCATGTCCAACATGTCCAAGCTCAGCATGTTGGACATGCCGCGCATTACGGTTCGCCGCTCCCAACATGTGCGATTCCACGCGGCAGTATCAGCAATCATGTTCCCTTTTACCGAGCGAGCCTATAGCAATATCCAATCGGCAGACACATGCACGACGTGACGTGGCTACAAGCCCCAAGTGATCCTGGCGTTTTAGGCTGCCCATCAGGATCAGCTACGATTTCCTGATCCTGATCCTGATCCTAATCCTGGACTGTATGAATACGCCCTTATCCTACATAGACACCACTCCCCCCGCGCCCTTTGCAATCCGAGTCACGACCAACTTCACCGCATCGTGGACCCGAGAAGGGGCATACTGATGCATGTAGCGAAGGGTGTGATGCGCGTCCGCAGGGTCAACAAACTCAGTCCCACACACACACTTGCCTGCGACCATGAGGTGGTAAATGGGCAAGCCTAGGCGCATGGCCATAGCAATGCTCCACTCAGAGGAAGTGAAAGTGGAACCGTCATGTGCCGGAACCACGGAGACCCTCGTCCCTGCCCCTGGGCCGTGAAGGGATGTCAAACGGGCCAAGTTGGCAGCATCACGAGCCTCGCGGCGAAGAGACTACAGGCTCTCAATAGCAAGACGACGCTGTTGTGTTGTGAAGAAAAGCTGTGGGGTTGTTTTGGTGGGGGATTGCTTCACCATACAGATTGTTGTATTACAAGTATAGCCCATACATATTCCAAAATAAATAAATCATTTGGCTAAGGAATCCCGCGGGATTGTTTACGTAAGTTGGACGGATTCGAAGAAAAAAGCACCATTCTAAAACGGACTCAGTGAATACGTTACTCTTAATTTCTTTACATTAAGAATAGTTACCCTGTTAGCGACAGGCCTGACGCACTGACAAGAACCTTACTAGTAAAGAACCGTTCGGCTAAGACCGTTTGGTTTTTCCCAGTGACCTCCTCCGTCCCAAACCTCTCTTGATTCGTCCTGCGGATCTAGCTGGTTCCTATTTTTGGGCAATCGGCCAAGGTTCATTACCTTGAAAACTCGAGGTAATAATCATGATGAATACATAAAATGGAAGGGAACAGAACTACACTCGGGAAGGGAAACCAAACCTTGAACCAAACTACGGTTCTGTGGTCGTACCGTTGTCCTCAATGTAGCACACGTGGGCTGGGAGGTTTGGCTTGGGGATTTTAGGGTCTACTTTGATGAACGTCCCTGGAGCATGGAGGCATGCTTACTGGAGCGCTCAGTTGTCCTGTACTTTGTGTTTTACTGTAGAAACAACACGCAGACAATTTCAGGCCAACTCTTGGCGTGGGCTCACGAATGTCTTTGCGAAACTCGAGCGTAAGTCTGAAAATATAACCTGCGCGTCGTCATCAAGATTCTGAGTTACAGTACAATACAGTACATCACAACAATCCCAACAACGGCTCCATTCCCGCTGTGTACTGTAGTCTTTCAAGATGGATGCTAGTGCAGGCCAGCCACGCTGGAACGTTGAAGGGCGGTCGACTACAGTACAGTGTTGATCTGACAAAAAGCGGGCAGCAGCTGTCATCACGGTTTCTTGTAACTTCTTTGAACTTCTCTTACTTTGCGTAACGTGATCTTTAAATGTTACGTGATCACGTACATTTCCCTCATTGGTGCCCCCTGCCTGGCAGCTCCAAACCTCGCCGTACCTCGTACTCCTCGCCGTCAGAATCGCTGGACTTGAACTTGACCTTACAGTCCAGATTTTGTAGACTCTATAAATAATAACAGGATCTGGATTACCCTGACCTGCAGGGTGGAACCATATGTGTACAGCGTGGTGATGAGGAAGATTCCTCACACCTAATCAAGTTTAGGTACAGTCAACGTCAGGACAGCACGACTGATGCACGGCAGCATCTACAGTGATTACGCTGCGCTGATTTTGAACTGTATGGTCGGGCCAAGAACATATTTTCGATCCATCCAGGTCTCCCCTCACCTCTCCCCTCCTCCCCAACCTCCCAGCCACAGTTCCACCACCCCAACCCAGCTGATCATCGACGGCGTCGAGTCAAAACCGGCCTTGTAGATCCACCAGTCGCGATTTGCCACGATAGCCTTCCGATGTACACCCAATCTCGTACGCAGTGCCTATCCCAATCAGTGTCAAAACCTCGGATTTAGGAGCAATGGGATAACGCACACAATCATATCTACACCGCACGTTGGTGGAGGGCGGAACGAAACGACCACACAATTGCCCGTTGGGACCTCTGTTTATTGACCAGACACAAATATCTTGTTACAAGTTCCACGTTTCTGTCCCATTTGCCCGTGGCGAAGCATGCGAAATGACCTCAACATTGCCCCCACGATTCGGGAAGTTTGTACACATGATGTCCAGCGTACGTTTTGCCCGTAGCCAATCGCAAACGGTTTAGCCTACCCATTTTTTCTGATTTACGGGCAGTATCCGTTTCGTGAGAGTCCCAAAAGTTGCCACGTGGATCGATTTTGTTGAGCGCGGACGAGGCGACCATACAGATGCATGGGCTTATTGACCAGAATTCTGACTTTTGAAATATCTTGTTACAGTATGCCCATTTGCGACCCATTTGCCCGTGGCGACGTATGCGAAATGATGAATTCAACATTGGCCCCTGCAACTTGGCAAAGTGGTGGGCGTCCAGTGGACATGAGCTGTATGAATCTCTCGCTCTTCGATTGTATCCCATGTGAAGTGAATGTCCTTCGATGCGGAAACCTCCAGAGGACGGCAAAACAGACAACCAGACCAAACAGTGAATTGAAGGACTAGCCGCCGCGCGTGGGTGGGGTACCCCTGCCCAGCGTAAACGCGTGCTTCGGGTTGCCGTGCCGTGCCATTCCTTCCCGTGCCGTGCCATTTTCGAGGTTCTCTTCTGTACGGGGAGGGGCTCAGGAAATGGAGCAAGGACAGTTGCCTTCCTGTCCCGTTCCGTCCTGTACCTTTCTGGTGTGCTGTACTGAAATGGTGTCCCTCCCGCCTCTTCGCTTTCATTTCACCTGGCATGGTTTGACTTTGTACGTTGCGGTCCAGCGCGGTAGAGGGATTGTACTTCAAACTGGAGCCACATCAGGCGAGCAGGAGGGGAAAAAACGAGCAGGACGTTTCCTTCTGAAATAAAGCTGTCTGACAACCTGCGACACTGTCACAGTAACGCTGTCCAAGTGTCTTCATCACGAGACTTCATTACCGCCACCGCTACGACGATCGTGGCTAGGAGCACGATAGATAGTATAATCTAGTAACCCTAATGTACTGATGACAGCGACGTACTTCGCGCCGTTAGATGTTGCGCAGCCGACGGTATCGGCAACGCTACCAATGAAGCGGAAAAACTTAGGTGAAGGTTACGATAATGTTACTACCGAATATCGCAAAGACATAAGTGCCACGCTCTCTTTTTCAACAGATTGTATCGACGTTCGCCGCGGCGCGATTGGCGGCGCTAACTTCGTCGCCGCACAACCGAGATCGCCCGAATTAGTAGAGCACCCCACCTTGCCGCACAACGCGACAGTCGCATATGCTAGCACGGGCAATCATGGAAGCAGCAGCATAAGGAATTGCGCTTTACGACGGTCGATGAGAGCCAGCGGAAACAACGGCGATAATCGCAACGACAGCAGCGAGGCGATTCGTCAGGCGGAAGGAAAAAAGCTACGCGCGGCTTTGGTGCCGACGTGCCTCCCAGAGGATGGCTTTTCTTGGCTAAAATATGGCGAAAAACCGCTAATGAACCAGCCTAATTGCCTTCGGTAAGTGCCACTTTTAGTTGGCAACACTGGTCACTAGAGGTGTTGTGCCAGTTTTGGGGAGGATTTTCCGACCTTGAATTTCGGGATGGTATTTTGGACGAGTTCCGTGTCGCTGGGCTGGATGATATTCCCATAGATTTTTCTGGCGTGTTTATTATTCTCCCTCCACTTTTTCTCCGACCCTTGTCCCGTCAGATCGTATTTTCGCTGCGCGGGTTCGGGGTCGCCAGGAGCGGAGCCTTGCCGTGCCAAACGAACTGTCGATTGGCGCGTCAACACCCAACCAGCCAGTTTCCACGTGTCGTTCACCGGTCAGCACAACCACAGTCCGCTACAAAATCGCTCCCCACCTGCTTTCCCCGCAGTTGTGACTTCATCCGCCAGCTCCCCTGGTGCCTCCGCTCCGACCGAAATCTGCGATGCGGGTGTGGCGAACAGTGTAGCCCAGGCTACTTCGACTTGTTATACCGGACGCAGGAATAACGGAGCGAGCTTTGCTTCCCGTCGCAAACCTAACCACGGGTTTCGCAAGCTACCAATGGCTGCGATGGTGCTCGCGAAAAGTGTCGCCGGAACTGCTTTTGTTGCAGACACGAAGGGGAACGCAGTTGCTGGCGACAGGCGTGACGACAGCACCGAAGACACGCAAAACCGCTACACCTACATTTCCAACCAAAACGGTCAATTATCGACATCATACATTCCTCCCAATGCAACTACTAATCATACTTCCACTTCTGATGCCAACAAGCTTAAATCCGTCGCTGCCCTGGAACTTCACCATCCTCAAGCATCCTGGTCCCCTGTTCCGCATTCGGAATATGAAGCAAATCCTTTTTCAGGGGCACCTCAGAACGAAGCCACAACCCCGTCAGCACCAAGATCAATGGTCACGATTGCTTCCACACATTGTATCTTGAGTCCTGCCATTCCGCCTCCTCCTTTTCCCTCTCCCTGCAGCAATTCCGCTGCTTTCTCCTGCTGCAGTCATCAACCTCCGCACCAATCAGAAGAGTCGCATCAGCAGCTCCAGCAACAGTATCATCATCATCATCATCATCATCATCATCATCATCATCAGCAGCAGCAGCAGCATCAGCAGCATCAGCAGCAGCAGCAGCAGCAGCAGCAGCAGCAGCAGCAGCAGCAGCAGCAGCAGCAGCAGCAGCAGCAGCAGCAGCAGCAGCAGCAGCAGCAGCAGCAGCAGCAGCAGCAGCAGCAGCAGCAGCAGCAGCAGCAGCAGCAGCAGCAGCAGCAGCAGCAGCAGCAGCAGCAGCAGCAGCAGCAGCAGCAGCAGCAGCAGCAGCAGCAGCAGCAGCAGCAGCAGCAGCAGCAGCAGCAGCAGCAGCAGCAGCAGCAGCAGCAGCAGCAGCAGCAGCAGCAGCAGCAGCAGCAGCAGCAGCAGCAGCAGCAGCAGCAGCAGCAGCAGCAGCAGCAGCAGCAGCAGCAGCAGCAGCAGCAGCAGCAGCAGCAGCAGCAGCAGCAGCAGCAGCAGCAGCAGCAGCAGCAGCAGCAGCAGCAGCAGGCAGCAGCAGCAGCAGCAGCAGCAGCAGCAGCAGCAGCAGCAGCAGCAGCAGCAGCAGCAGCAGCAGCAAGCAGCAGCAGCAGCAGCAAGCAGCAGCAGCAGCAGCAGCAGCAGCAGCAGCAGCAGCAGCAGCAGCAGCAGCAGCAGCAGCAGCAGCAGCAGCAGCAGCAAGCAGCAGCAGCAGCAGCAGCAGCCAGCAGCAGCAGCAGCAGCAGCAGCAGCAGCAGCAGCAGCAGCAGCAAGCAGCAGCAGCAGCAGCAGCAGCAAGCAGCAGCAGCAGCAGCAGCAGCAGCAGCAGCAGCAGCAGCAGCAGCAGCAGCAGCAGCAGCAGCAGCAGCAGCAGCAGCAGCAGCAGCAGCAGCAGCAGCAGCAGCAGCAGCAGCAGCAGCAGCAGCAGCAGCAGCAGCAGCAGCAGCAGCAGCAGCAGCAGCAGCAGCATCAGCAGCAGCAGCAGTGTCAGCCGCAGCTGCAGCCACAGCCTCCGCAGGCTGTGCAGCAATATCACGGGCAGCCGAAGGAGGAAGAGGAGGAGCAGAAGCAGCAGCAGCAGTATCAACAGCAGCAGGGGGAGCAGCAGCAGCTGCAGTATCAACAGCAGCAGCCGGAGCAGCAGCAAAACCCAGTGTATTGCGGAGAAGGCAAACAGTCCTCTCAAGGTCAGGCATGCGGATCAGAGGGCGGAGGGGGGGGTGGCAGAGACAGAGGCAATGCCAACTTGGTGGAAAACGGATGCTGCTCCACCGCCCCTTACGACGGCAACTCCCCTACTCATGACACCACCTCCAATGCCGATGCGTCCAATCCTGATTTCTGCATTCCTGACACCTCCAATCCTGATGCGTCCAATCCTGATCCCTGCATCCCTGACACTGGAAACCCTAACAGCAGCTTCATGCCCTTGACTGGTACCAAGCTCCGCAGCAGCAACAGCCTTGGCAGCACAGGAAGCACCCGCGTGCTTGCTCTCGGGTCAACTGAGAAGCAGCCTGGAAGCACACGCATGCTTGTGCATGGTGCGAAAGGTAATGGCGAGTGTGCACCAGAGGCCTATGTTTCTTGCTGCGAGCACCAGCCACAGCAACAGCAGCAACATCAACAGCAACAGCAACGGCAGCAGCAGCAACAACAGCAGCAGCAGCAGCAGCAGCAGCAGCAGCAGCAGCAGCAACAACATCAGCATCAGCAACATCAGCAACAGCAACGGATGGTCCCCGCACCATCGCCATCACCATCACCATCGCCCTCACCATCGCCATCTCTTGTCCCTCCAGTGCCGCTTTTCCGATTGCCAACATTACGCCCATCACCACCCTTAGCTGTGGCTGATGCACCCTGCTCAACATTTTCATACGCACCTACCCCATACGCACCCACATCATATACCCCATGTGAGCTCACGCAGTATGCACCCACACCACACGCACCTGCACCAAGTGAGGCGTTCCCCCTGCCTGCAACGGACTCTGCCTGTTGCTGCTGCTGCAGGGAGGTCGACCACCCCTCTCTACCGCACTCCACCGCATCTCAGATCATGGAACCTCCACAGCCTACTTGCTTTCCACCCGTATCTCTAACCTTTTCAGCTACCCATGCCCCGGAGGAGAACCACTCCTCTCAATCGCTCACCACCACATCCCTAGTCATGGAGCCTCCACAGCCCACTTTTTTTCCACCCGCATCTCTCCCCTTTTCAGCCACCAGTGCGACGAGCCTCCCTAACCACCACCATCACCTGAGTAGCGGCCACCACCATGTGGTTACCACAGTTGTGGCAGTTACTGAGTTACCACCATCAACGGTTGCTCTATCTGTGCAACAGTGCTCTTGTGAACCCAGTGCACCTGCTCAGCTAGATGAATCCTTTTTCCCTGCTAACGAATCAGCTTACAGGAAGGTTACTTCGCTCCATCCGTCTGCAACAGCGGATCCATACATGCTACAGAGCGTTTCAGTTGAAGGTACAAGATGGCCCAAACCTCCAACCACTGAGGGGGGCATTCTGGATTCGGCCAATGACATGTTAGAAGACATTTTTGGGAGCTGCAGTGGGGGTGATGACGGATTGGAGACAAGGGACTGTAACGAGTCGTCTTCGATGAGGAGCAACGTTACGGAAGATGTGAATGAAGCCCTTTTTGAGCTAGATATACCGGTGGAAGAAGGGCTTTGGTTTAATCCTTTAGTTGAATGTGTTGCTAACGAGAAGACATAGCTTCCCAGGTGCTGATATGTTTTGCTGATTTTTTTTCTCCCGTTTGATATTTTTCTGATGCGTCGTGCTGTATTACTTTGATCTGATTGCCCATGATTTGCACTTTCCTTCGAAAACCCATTGCAATTGTTCCTTTCTTGGGAAAGTTGTACTTAGTACACTTCAGGTGCTTTGCCATGATTAATAAGCTGAAATGGACTCTCACCAGTCTATAAAGATGCATGCACTAGCTGTGTAATGTACAATGATCAAATCTCCTATATTCCTTCGCAGTGTGAAGTGCCAGCGACTGATGACAGCCTCAGACCAGAACGCCGACCATGCTAGCTACTAGTGAAGCGTAACTCTTCCACTTCATAAAAAGAAGGCCCGCCGCGAGGAAGGGAGCGGAGAAAGCCCGCCGCGAAGAGGGCTTCCGGAAAATGGCGAAGAATTTTCTCGACGTCGCGACGAGATCGCTCAATCACAGATTTGTTACCAGCCGCGCTCTCCTGTGCGCTTTTGAAGCGTCGCTCAACTCTGCGAGAGCGGCGCCCGTGCACAGGTTTAGTGCTAGAGAGCTGTGCTCGTCCTCAGAAGAAGCAGACGGCCGGCGATCCCCGCAAGTTGCAGACGGCCGGCGATCTCCGCAAGAAACGGACGGCCGGCGATCCCCGCCGATATTCGAGCTGCGGACGTACCGCATAGTCCCCGGCGAATTAAAGAGCTATTTAGACGCGACGCGGAGATTCGCGGCGCTGCGGAAAGAGCTCAGCCCGGGATGGCGCGGGTAGGTAGCTGGAGGGGGGCGGAGAGGGGAGAGGGGAGCGGGGAGGGGGGAGTGGGAAGGGGGAGGGGAGAGGGGAGAGGGAAGAATGTGAGAGAAAAGGGTGAGAGGGGGTGGAGGGGGTGGAGGGGGAGGAGAGTTGGGGGGAAGGGGGGGAAGGGGAGGGGGGGAAGATACTGCGAAGGATACTGGTGGAGTGGAAACCAGCTACTCATGAGTGAGTAGGATGGTGAGAAGATCGCAGGGATCCCAGGCTTCTGTGGGGGGGGGGGGGAGGAGGGGGGATACCGCCAAGGTTTCTGGCTTCGGGATTTAAGTTGCAATGCAGTGCAAGGTGGCTTCTGGTGGAGTAAACTTCAAGTGGCGTGTCAACCAATGGGGGTTGAGTTGTGGCAGCCTCCCAGGTCACCTAGGTTTGACTTAGGGGGCTCTGGGCTGGTTTGCGTCCCTCTCCGCCTTTCTCGTCCCCCCTCCGCCTTTCTCGTCCCCCCTCCGCCTTTCTCGTCCCCCCTCCGCCTTTCTCGTCCCCCCCTCCGCCTTTCTCGTCCCCCCTCCGCCTTTCTCATCCCCCCTCCGCCTTTCTCGTCCCCCCCTCCGCCTTTCTCGTCCCCCCTCCGCCTTTCTCGTCCCCCCTCCGCCTTTCTCGTCCCCCCTCCGCCTTTCTCGTCCCCCCCTCCGCCCTTCTCGTGCCCCCCTCCGCCCTTCTCGTGCCCCCCTCCGCCCCCCACTGGAGGCGTGCTGAATGAAGTTCACCTCTTCTATTGGTACCCTGGTAACCGTTTTTACCTTTACCCCTCTCCCCTCCTCTCCCCTCCTCTCCCTTCCTCTCCCCTCCTCTCCCCTCCTCTCCCCTCGTCGCCCCTTCTCTCCCCTCCTCTCCCCTCCTCTCCCCTCCTCTCCCTTCCTCTCCCCTCCTCTTCCTTCCTCTCTCCTCCTCTCCCATCCTCTCCCCTCCTCTCTTCTCCTCTCCCCTCCTCTCCCCTCCTCTCCCCTCCTCTCCCCTCCTCTCCCCTCCTCTCCCCTCCTCTCCCCTCCTCTCCCCTCCTCTCCCCTCCTCTCCCCTCCTCTCCCCTCCTCGCCCCTCCTATCAGCCTTTGGACCGTTGAGACTGGAGGCGTGCTGAACGAAGCTCACCACTTCTAAACCCCAACCACCACTGCTACCCTGGTAACCATGTTAACCTTATCCCCTCCTCTCCCCTCCTCTCCCCTCCTCTCCCCTCCTCTCCCCTCCTCTCCCCTCCTCTCCCCTCCTCTCCCCTCCTCTCCCCTCCTCTCCCCTCCCCTCCCCTACTCGCCCCTCCTGTCAGCTTTTGGACTGTTGAGACGGGAGGCGTGCTGAATGAAGTTTACCACTTCTACTGCTACCCTGGTAACCAATTTTGCTGCATTCTGGTAACCATTATTGCTGTTACTCTGGTAGACAATTTTTCGTTTTCTTGGGTAGCCATCGTTCTTGCTACCGTGGTACTAATGATTCCTACTTTTACCTTGGTACCACTTCTACTGCTACCCTGGTAACCCTTTTTGCGGTAACAACTTCTGCTAATGTAACCAGCGCTATTAGGAGTGGGCCAAGGGGTATCGCTCTCTTGCGCAACCTTATCCCTCCCTCCCCCTCCCCTTCCACGCAACATACGCGCACAGGTGGGTGGGGGGAGCGAGACGCAGTGAGGGCAGGAATGGCAAGCAGCAGCGAGTGGACGCAGTGCGGGCAGGAATGGCAAGCAGCAGCGAGTGGACGCAGTGCGGGCAGGAATGGCAAGCAGCAGCGAGTGGACGCAGTGAGGGCAGGAATGGCAAGCAGCAGCGAGTGGACGCAGTGAGGGCAGGAATGGCAAGCAGCAGCGAGTGGACGCAGTGAGGGCAGGAATGGCAAGCAGCAGCGAGTGGACGCAGTGAGGGCAGGAATGGCAAGCAGCAGCGAGTGGACGCAGTGAGGGCAGGAATGGCAAGCAGCAGCGAGTGGACGCAGTGAGGGCAGGAATGGCAAGCAGCAGCGAGTGGACGCAGTGAGGGCAGGAATGGCAAGCAGCAGCGAGTGGACGCAGTGAGGGCAGGCATGGCAAGCAGCAGCGAGTGGACGCAGTAGTACCTCCCTCTCTATCTCCCCCCCTGCGTCTCTGTTTTCCCCCGTCCCCCACACACACATACAGGTGGATGGGAGGAGCGAGATGCTGTGCGAGCAGGCATGGCAAGCAGCAGGGAGTGGACGCAGGAGTATTTGCCTCTGGTGAAACCAGCATTTCAGACACAGGTGAGACACGGGCTGACTCTTGAGTCGACTCGAAAAGAGTCAGTGCAAATAGCAGGAAACAAACACGTAACTGGTAAAGCAAGCAGCAAGGCATGGCAAGCTGGAAGGAGTGGACGCAGGAGTATCTGCCTCTGGTGAAGCCAGCATTTCACAGAGATGAGATGGAAATTGAGTCGACTCATAAGAATTTCTTGCCGATGCAACGGCCAGCAGGCAATAGCGTATGGCAATTGAGCAAGGTAAGCAGCAGAGATTGAAGCAGGAAGGGGTGGGCGCAGGAGTATCGGCCTCTGTTGAAGCCAGCATTTCAGCCACAGGTGCGACGGCGGCTGACTCTTGAGTCAACCCGAAAAGAGTCAATGCAACCAGCTTTGAGCAGACTCAAAGGTCATCAGGTGCGGCAGGGAGCAAGGAGTCACCAGGTAACAGGTAGCAGTTAACAGGTAACAGGTAGCAGTTAACAGGTAACAGGTAGCAGTTAACAGGTAACAGGTAAAGCAAGCAGCAAGGCATGGCAAGCAGCAAGGAGTGGACGCCGGAGTATCTGCCTCTGGTGAAGCCAGCATTTCACACACAGGTGCGTATGGAAAGGACAAAGGCCGTATCACTGGGTAAGCACGTGATCTGATTTGCGGGAAAGCGGGTTGGTATTGTAGGTAAGTGGTTCGTAGTAGGTACGTGGGTTAGTGGGCAAGCCGCATGTGATACGTATATGAGCGGAATTTGTATCCGTTTGAAGCTATATTCTGTTATATGTGTCTGTCTGTCTCGCAGGATGTCTCCTCATTGTGCTAATGGCAAAAATACTTCTCCCACTTTCTCGCCGCATCCTTGCCTTCTAGTCCGGTGTCTCACCACCACTGCTACTCCAATATCTTGGCCGCCTGTATCCCCGGATAAGTTGGGTGCTCCATTGGTTTTTGTGAATTCTCAATAACCAACTTACCAGTGCTCAATATCTTGCTCTGTTGGTTTTTGTGAATTCTCAATAACCAACTTACCACTGCTGCTGCCCTCTCTTGCCCGCCTGTATCCCCGTCTGCAGGAGTCCAGCATATTCCTGGAAGATTCCAAATGCATGGAGGCAGTAGCAGCAGCATCACCACCCTCACCATCACCACCACCATCACCATCACCACCACCATCACCACCACCACCACCATCACCATCACCACCACCATCACCATCACCATCACCATCACCATCATCACCATCCCCATCACCATCACCATCACCATCACCATCCCCATCACCATCCCCTGGGGTGTACGCGTTGCATCGCTACCCATTGAGAGGAGCTCTTGGGGATTCCATGGTTGCCCTCCGAGAAGCGTTTCTCAATCGGTGAGATGGAGGGAAGGCTTTTGAGGCGCCTCAACTGTCAAAGGCGCCTCAACGGTCAGAGGCGCCTCAATGGTCAGAGGCCCTTGGGGGATTCCATGGTTGCCCTCCAAGAGTCGTTTCTCAATCGGTGAGCATGGAGGGAAGGCCTTGTGTGAGCTCAAAACACGGTTATTATTGTCAATCGTTGAGATGGAGGGAAGGCTTTTGAGGCGCCTCAACGGTCAGTGACGTCTCAAAGGTCAGAGGCCTCAATCCATGGGGGGGAGAGAGAGAGGGGAGGGGGGGGGGGGGTTGGGGAGGAGGGGGGTGGAGGTGGGAGGGGGTGGTTGATGGAGCGCGTAGTCTCTGGCAAAAAAGCTCATTGTGGTCTGAAGCACAATAAAGCTCATTCCATCTGTTCAGTGCTTCAGCATTGAGCAACACGAACCTGAGGTGCCAGGGGTCCTTGCGTCACAATAGCAACTCCACGCTGCACCTCTTCCTCCACTTTGCACCTCTTCCTCTATGCTGCACCCCTTCCTCCACTGAGTGACGATCCTTGGAATCTCACTGACGTGCTACTCAGAAGGAAGAGATAGATAGAGTCACAATAGCAACGAAGCCCAATATGTTGTCTGTAACTCTTCAGCACTGGAAGAAAGTGGTTGAAAGAGGGAGCTATTTTCACCTCTCTTACAGCTCAACTTGCTTCTTTCAATGCCTCACGATTTATATCACCTATTTTCAATGCCTTGCTCTATCCTTAAATTTACCTTTTTTTAATGCCTCACTCTATCCTTCAAATCACCTTTTTTTATGCCTCGCTCTACCCTGCCTTTTCCCCATTTCCCCTTGGCCTATGTCTGACTCACAGCCTTTCTGCTCGCTGCGTGGCTGCTCCTTCTTCTCAATGCCTCTTCATTGGCTACTCGGATGCCGGGTAACATTCTGAACAGTGTAACCTGCTACAGGTGCACTGTGACCTGTTACGACTCACATGTATACAAAGTGTTGGATTCAATCCTACCGCACACGTGCTCATGGCCTGCCTTTTGTATCCAGTGCCCATTCAATAGCTCCTCTGATATTGAGGTGACTATTGGTTGATCCTGGTTGCTTTCGTGTCTTGCCATGTCCCCCTTCCCCCCACCCTTGTTTCTCAACCCTTGTTGTTTGCAGTCCGCGCAGTGCCCTAGAGCTGTGGCGCCACAGCAGCACTACAGACTGCCACTTGTCTGATCAGGTGCACTGCTCACCTTTAAGCTGTGTGGCTTTTGTTCTTGAAGTCCAGCTTTGTGTTTGCTGTCTGAAGTTAAAAAAAAATATGTATAAACCTTGCTTCCTTCAGTTGAGCGGCGAACCTACGGTGCTACTTGTTACCACCTAGCTTGGTCGTTTTTGTCATTGACGTGGCAATGCAATATCCTCTTCCAAGAATCACGCCTTGTGCCCCCCTGTATCTGCGCCCCTATTGTGGCATCTATTGCAGGCTTGGGGCTCGACTATCGATTCTTTGAAGCTCTCCCCACCAGAGATTAAATTCAGCAATAAGCAGATTCTAAGACCCACAGCGTTCTCTCCTTGGCAATAATATACCATGACTGGCAATCACCTGGACTCTTAAGACTCAATTTCAGGTTTGCTGGTATTGAACACTGTCCTGTAAGAATACGCCCTAAGAGCACGACGTTGGTCTTGATTTCTGCCTATGGCATATTCAGTTGGTAGATTGGAGAGAGAGGTTGGGATCAAGGGGGGAAGAGACAAGGCAGATGAAAGACACGGATGAAGGTGACTGCCTAAAACCTGCTACCATAAAAATCATTATGATAAATGTGACGTTTTTTTTTAGGCGGAAAAGCAATGTTCGAGAGACACGGATGGTACCTTTTACGCTTATTGCGTCAGCCTTGAGGACGGTAGTTTTCCCGGGAACCGAAGCCACCGACATGAACCCACTTCGAAAGGTTTTGCTCGCGTGGGATGTGCGTTTTGCCACGTAAGTTGGTTGCTCTGACCGATTCCGCTAACTTCCCAACAACTGTGACTGCTCGTCTGGATCCGAGCCTGGTTTCGCCGTCAAGTTCGACAGGCTCGGCTGAATTCACTCAGACAAGCCCAGACGAGCGGCGTCGCAATCAGCTCATTGCAATCACATTGACGGCTTTGCCTCCGCTTCCCTCAGCATTGTGCCAGAGTCTGCAGTGAAGTGCAGATATGCTCTCCAATCAAAATAGCAGATTACGAGTCGCGGCGAAAGCAACATCCGCGAAAAGTTTTCTAAGTGGTCTAAACATTCCCGCCAGAACCGAACATGTTCCTCCTCGGCGAAGTTCGTAGGCAAAAGGGGTCTGATTTGGGGAAGGTGAGTGCGAGGAAGGTGGCGGGCTGCGTGACAAAACGGAGAAGCTAACGATAGTCTCATTGGCTCAGGAGAGTTTGGGCTAGTTCGGTGGGCTGCCCGTCTCTGTTGGCCTGTGCTGGGCACAAAGCATGATTTGGTTCGGGCCCTTGGTCTGGATCCCCTGCTTTGCGAGCCCGAGCAAAACCATTATTTCGCCCAACCTTTATTCAGTGGACGGGGGGTGAAAGTGCGCCGTCATCAGCAAGCCACGCGAAGCCGCACCTCGCGTTGCCCGGCCGCTTCTTGCTAAAGGTTCTCGCGAAGCTCGTCCACGCTGGTGCGGCCTTGTGGTTCGACTCCGCCTCGGCATACTGGTTTGGTTCACAAGGACGAGGGTTTCGAGATTGGGTTTCAGGGCTTGGTCCGAAGTCTGGTCCCGAGGGGTCCCCCAAACCATCATGCCAAACCCGTACCTATTGGTCCCTACATTCCATACCTAGAAGCAAAAGCTTGGGTTTGTCGCAGGTTTCCTTACCTCCCCACCAAACCAATTCCACTCATTCTTGGCTTGTCCCCAGGGGCTGACTGCGCGCCTTTATTTCGACGACTGGTTCGGTGTCCTTATCACGTACGCACGCGACTAGTAGTCCCGCGCTTCCTCCTCACACGCACGCATCCATCCAAACACCCGTCATGAATACCGGCTCCACCATGGCTTCAGATGCACATGTATTTAAATCCTTCTTTCTGCTCCTCGCAGCTTCCCGAGCTTCGACGTCAAGCGTGCTCTTGGCCTGGATCCTTGTCGAATTCAGATGCCGCTGTTGTTTGGATAGGCCAGTGCCCTCTTTCACATCGGATAGGTCCATGATTCATCTTCGTCTGAAGCTGTTCGTTCCTCGAGGTTTTGGCCCGTTCGTTAGTGTCAGTCGCTTTGGAGAGCGAGTTTTGATAGCCTTGACCCATCTACCGTCAGTTGTATCCTTCTTTTGACTCATGGCCGAGGCTCTCTAGAATCAACACAAACCTCCCGTCGTACAATCAGTGTCGATAAATTAGTCGCCTTTCCAACTCATGGTAGCGCTTCAGTTTAGTGCGTTTAATCTGTCGGACCCTGTACATGCTAGTTCGCGTCGGGAATAGTCCCCTAATTTGTTACTGAGCTCTTCTCGTTCGACCCGCGAAATATCCGGCCTATGGTTTTATTAAAGCCCTCTGTCGCCTTGAAGGAGTATCCTAAACGTAGCCTCGACACAACCGTTTGTCCGTACAATCCCTTATCCAATAAGGTGCTCTTCCGCGGCAAGCACAATCAAACGAATTTTAGTGAAGTCGGAGACGTCTCAGAGCCCGAATAAATCCTAGAAGTGATTAAAGGCATGGCGAGAAAAGGCGGGCACATAGTCGGGATTCTCGATGTTCATATTCTCCAAGCGGAGACTCTACCTGACCGCTCCACGCTCGGCGCGCAGGATGTGTACGCCAAGGTGCTGTGCGGCGATCGCGACCCGCTCGGTCGCGTCGCGCTCACCACGCGGACGATCAAAGGAGGCGGCACGGACCCAGTCTTCGATCAGCGGCTACAGGTATACCCAGTTTCTAAGTGACGGTTACACATGCAAAAGGCTGTAGTAAAGCCAAGCCGTATCATAGAAAGGTGGAAGGTTCAGCTCTTCGTTTGGCGAGCCAGTTGCATCCCCCTCCCCCCCAGCCCCCTCCCCCCCCACCCCCTTCTCTCCCCTCTTCTCTCTTTCTATCCACCTTTCGTTTCACGATCGTTTCGCCCATTCTTCGTCGTCCGTTCACCCCGTTCCTTCCTCCCTTCTGCCTTCCCGTACCTGCCTGCAGGTTGGGATTCCCGAGCGTGCCACCGAGCTTAAGTGCGAGGTTTGGTTCGCTAGCCACCACCGAGGCACCACGGAAGATCAGCTGCTCGCGTTTGTGTACATTCCGATAAGGTAATTAATACATGAGGAGGATTTTAAACTGGGATTTGAGGATATCATGATAACTGAAAGTATACTTTAGTAGCATGACTGGATAGATAAGTTTTGAGTCGACTCAAAAGTCAACAGTATAGTGGCATGGCTGAATAGATAAGCTCCCACCTGGTTTGCTATGGTGAAGTACCGTCGCTTTCCTATTGCTGCTCCGAAGCGTCTCTGCTCGCTTTCCCCTGCTAGTAGAGTGCGGTTGTCTGTTTGCTTTGATCCAATCCCCGTCTCAATAATGCTCGGTTGAATCCCCTCATCCCCCCTTTGCCTTATCCCTGCCTCTCCTTCCAACAGAGACGCTTTGGAGAAGCAAGGCGAACAGGACTTTCCACTCACCACTGTAGATAGCGAGGGGCGCACTATAGCGAGTACAGCCCGAATCTCCATCTCTTTTGCCTACCACCCACGCCCTGGCTTCTCCTCCCCCTTCTTCTCCTCCTCATCCTCCTCCACCTCCGCTTCCTCCTCCTCTGCTGCTCGTGCGGCCACTTCTAAGCCTGCCAGTATCGCTGGCGGGATGCTTAGTAAAGCGATAGCGGCGGCTTTTTCCCGCCGGGCAGCGGAAAAAGCGGCGGGTCAGGGAAGTGCAGGGGTGGGAGTGAGGCTAGAGGGGCCGCAGCAAGAGCAGCAACAGCAGCAGCAGCAACAGCAACAGCAGCAGCAGCAGCAACAGCAGCAGCAGCAGCAGCAGCAGCAGCAGCAGCAGGTGTACCAACAAGAACGTTTGCATCGGATGCAACTGCAACATCAAGAGCAGCATAGGGAGGCAAGGGAAGAGCAGCAGCAGCAGCAGCAGCAGCAGCAGCAGCAGCAGCAGCAGCAGCAGCAGCAGCAGCAGCAGCAGCAGCAGCAGCAGCAGCAGCAGCAGCAGCAGCAGCAGCAGCAGCAGGAGCAGCAGCTACAATTGCAGCAGTTGCAAGAGCAGCAGAGAGAGCAGCAGCAAGAGCAGTCCCCAGTCCCATCTCAGCAGCTAGGCCCTCTCTCGTTACTCATGGAAAGGCAAGGGGTCAGAGATCCGGCCAAAATGGACCTGATCCAAGCGCTGAGAGACGTGGCAGAGGTGGACAGACTAGCCGGCAGCAGCAGCAGCAGCCACAGCAGCAAGCGTTTAAGGTCGAAATCTGGGCCCCTGAGAATGGGCGCTGATGAGCCAGTGGGGCCTGCTGAGTCAGCAGCTCGTGCTGAGTCAGCGGCCTCTGACACGTCATCAGAAGTGCAAGCAGCAGCAGCAGCAGCAGCAGCAGCCGCAGGAGCAGTCGTTGCTGCTGGTTCTGCTGGAGCAGCTTCGGGATCTGCCGAACCTTCTGGCCCTGGCCAACGCAGGCTGAAGTACCGAGCCAGGTCTGGGCCTCTGCATGGTTCGGCAGCTGGTTTGGGCGGCCGCGGGGCAGGCAGGATGGGAGGTTCGGGAAGGTTGTTGAGCAGTAGCGGGGAACTCTATAAGGGGGCGAAGGAAACGATAGGCGACAGAGGGCCTGAACCGTGGTTTGGTGAACGGTTAGGAGGAGTGGGAGGGGGTGGATGGTCTGGAGGAGGATTTGGTAGGGGGGGTGCAGCAGAGCCTGTCAGTCCGTCTCTGCCTTCGCCTTTTGAGTCGACTCAAAAGCCTGAACGGTTAGGAGGAGTGGGAGGGGGTGGATGGTCTGGAGGAGGTTTTGATAACGGGGGAGCAGAGCCTGTCAGTCCTTATCTGCCTTCCTCTCTCTCTGCTGACGCTGCTGCAGGTGCTGCCGCAGATGCTGGCTTTGCTGGGGAGAGGGACGTGAATATGCCCAAGGTGCTGGTTGCATGGGAGCAGCAGCAGCAGCAGCAGGTGGAAGGGCAGGCAGCACAGCAGCAGCAGGTACATTCGTTTGAGCAGGAAAAAACCCCTGTTCTCCCGCCTGCTCGCATTTACAGGGGGATGAGGCGGGGTAGCAGCATTGGGAGCAGTAGCAGCAGCGGCAGTGGTGGGTTTGGTAGGCTAAGGGGCGGTCTCTTCTATATCAGTGGGGGGGGAAGCTGGCAGCAGCAACAACAGCAGCAGCAGCACTCACCACAGGAGCTGTTGCTTCAGAACCCAGAGCAGCAGCAACAGCAGGAGTGGCAACAACAGCACCCGCAGCACCTACAGCAGCAGCAGCCGCAGCAGGAGCAGCAAGAGTGGCAGCAGCAGCAGCAGCAGCAGCAGCAAGAGTGGCAGCAGCAGCAGCAGCAAGAGTGGCAGCAGGAGAGTCTTACGAGCAGCGCCAGTGCATGTGGCACCAATTCAGGCACCACAGAGGAAGTCTCCTCAAGCACATACCAGATAATGGGAGGTCCGGAGCAAGAGGGGATGCAGAGGGAGGATGTGAGGGGGATGCGAGTGGGTGAGGCGCAGAGGAGTCTCTCTGAAATGGCTTTGATGGCTCCTAAGGAAGAACGGCTTGGGATGGAAGGGGAGGGGGGGAGAGGGACGGAGGGAAGGGAAGGGGATGGTGAGGGGAAGTGGAGGATGGAGGAGGGTGTGGCACAACAGTATCGGTATCAGCACCAACAGCAGCAGCAGCATGTGCAGCAGCAGCAGCAGCAGCAGTATGTGCAGCAGCAGCAGCAGCAGCAGCATGTGGAGCAGCAGCAGCAGCATGTGCAGCAGCAGCAGCAGCATGCGCAGCAGCGACAGCATCAGTTATCTGAAGATCAGTATCAGCAGCAGCAGCAACAACAAGAATACCCGCAGCAGCAGCAGCAGCAGCAGCAGCAGCATGACGACGACCACCAGCAGTACCAGCATGAGCAGTTCACTCAGCAGCATGGGGAGTTTGTGGTATTGCCCGCACAGCAGCATCAACCGGGGCAGCCCCAGCAGCAGCAGTATCAGCCACACATGCAGCAGCAGCAGCAGCAGCAGCAGCAGCAGCAGCAGCAGCACCTGCCCCAGTTCCACCAACAGCAGCCACCGCAGCAGCAGCATCTGGCCCACCAGCAGCAGCAACAGAGTGAGGAGCAGAGGGCCACATTGGTGCTGCCAGAGGGCAGCAGCTTCGATGAGCGGCGGCAGCACCAGCAGCAGCAGCAGCAGCAGCAGCGCCAGCAGCAGCAACAGAGTGAGGAGCAGAGGGCCACCGTGGTGCTGCCAGAGGGCAGCAGCTTCGATGAGCTCATGATGGAAGCCAGTGGGGCTCTCAGTGACTTCCACATGACTGCTCCAGAGGGGTTTGATGCGGTGAGAAGTGGTCCGGAGGGATTAAGGACCCAGCTACAACAGCAGCAGATACAGCAGCAGGAGGCGATTCAGCAACTCCAGCAGCAGCAGCAGCAGCAGCAGCAGCAGCAGCAAGAAAACGTGGGGTACCATCCCGCTGACCAGCAAGAGCAGCACGAACGGCATGAGCATCAGCAGCAGCAGCAGCATCAACAGCATCATCAACAGCATCACCATCAACAGCCGCAGAATCGGCAGTATCAGCAACCACATGTAGAGCAAATGATGCACGGACAGCACCAGCAGCAGCCACAGCAGATGTACTATCAGTATCAGCATCAGGACCAGCAGCAGTACCAATACCAGCAGCAGCAACAGCAGTACCATCAACACCAACCACTGCAACAGCAACAGCAACAGCAACAGCAACAGCAACAGCAGGTGTCAAATGTGCCACAGTACCAGCAGCCATTTCACCAGCAACAGCAGCAACTGCCACAGCCACGGCTTTCTCATTTCGAAAAACAGGCGGAAGCTTTCCAACAGCACACACAGCAGCCATTGCAGCAGCAGCCACAAGCTTTCCAACAGCCATTGCTGCAGCAGCCACAAGCTTTCCAGCAGCCATTGCAACAGCAGCAGCCTTTTTACCAGCACAGGGCAGCGGTGCAAAGGCGCCCCCTGGGAGACGTTGTGGGGAATAAGGCTCGGTCTGTAGCAGAAGGGCCGGTGCCAGCTGTCGTGATGGGATTGGGCAATGAGGCTTGGAAGAGGGCCGGAATGGAGGAGAGGAGGGAGGTGGAGAGGGAAAGGGTGGCTGGTGTGGGAAGGGCAGGGCAGACGGACGGAGAGCAGCAGATGTGGCAACAGCAAATACAGCAGCAGCACCAGCAGCCGCAACAGCAGCAGCAGCAGCAACAGCAGCAGCTGTTTCAGCAGCAGCAGCAGCGCTGGTATGTAAGTCACGAGCACCATGGACATCAGCAGCAGCAGCAGCAGCAGCAGCAGCAGCATGAAGTGGCACAGCCAAAATCTCTCCGCCTCGTCCTTCCGAAGTTCCTGACAAGAAGCAGCAGTCGTCGGGAGGAGGGTCAGGTGCAGGGTCAGGTGCAGGGTCAGGTGCAGGGTCAGGTGCAGATTGGGGCAGAAAGCGAAGTGAGATTGCAACAACCCCCTGTGCAGCCACCATCCATGCAACAATCATCCATGCAACTACCATCCATGCAACCACCATCCATGCAGCAACAACCACCCATGCAGCAACCATCCATGCGTCAACCAGCGGTGGAGCAACCGCATGCGCATGTACCAGTATTTATGCCGCCACTGCATGCTCAGCAGCAGGAGCATGTGGACTTCCAGAAAGTGCATATGCAGCAGCAGAGCGTGCCAATGCACGTGCACCCTGTCCCCATGCAGGAACGAGCCTCGCACATGCAGCAGCGGAGCGAGGGCATGGAGCACCAAAGTTGGCACATGCAGCAGCCGAGCATGGGTATGGAACCCCAAAGTGGGCACATGCAGCAGTATCACGCTATGCCTGCTGCTGACCCACTTGCATTGCAGCAGTCACCTCCTATGCTGCAAGAGGTACCACTGTCGCAGCATGCACCCCCCCCCATCATGCAGCATGCACCCCCCCCCATGATGCAGCATGCATCGCAGCATGCACCCCCCGTGACTGTACATGCATCACAGCACATGCCAGGGCAGGTTTCAACTCCCTCCATGGACTCACATCCGCATGAACAGTTTCCACATCCTCATAGGCACCAGCAGCAGCAGCAGCAGCAGCAACCAGCACGGCCTCTAGAATCATTACCAGCAGCAGCAGCACCTGCAGCAATCCCAGCAGATCCATCAGCACAGCCTCAAGGGTTCGCATCTGGCGTAACAGTGCAAGTGAAGGGAGATTGGAAGGTGTACGACAACCAGTTGGCTAAGATGCATCCAGATGACATGCACAGATGACATCCAAATGAGCTGTTGCCCTTGTGATCATGGATCATGTTATTTTGTCATGGGCTGAGTCCAGGGCCTCAGATTGGTTTCGGACTGCCCTGATTGCTCAGTATCATCATGCAGAAAAAAACTTTCCGTCAGCATCTCAAGCTAAAACTTTGCTGATTTGTCAGGGTCGGTACCTAACCGTTTGCTGATACATCACTGTTGCCGCAGGCATTCATGCTTTTCTGTTCACAATCCTGAACTAGCTACTTTGGCAGTTAAGGGCAGCACGGTGTGTGGAATGCAGATGCATCAATGGATTATGGAATGGAAGACTAGAAACCTAACGCATCCTATCCTAGCTACAAATGCACCAGACCAGACCCGATCGAAATATGTTTCCAGCTTCTCTCTGCTGCAGCAGCACCTATCCTGACCTAACCTACTCCAAATCTATGACCATTGACTAGCTTAATGACACATTCAGGACTGGCAATCCAGCAGTCTCAGCGGTCGCTCATCATCCCAGCGGTCCTCCGAGTCTTCGCCTACCAACACACCAACCTCGTCTGCTTCGTCAGGGTTGGATTGGACTTCGTCTTCTGCGGCCTTCTCTTTACCCTTCCCACTTGCCGGCTGCTTCCTGGGCCGCGCAATCACATTGAACGGCCGACGCTTCTTATAGCTGCGCCAGATCGCCACCACCTCTTCCCAGTTGGGCTCGTAGTCCAGCAGTGACATTACCATCAGGTCCGAAAGTCGAGCATCCTTGATAGCCCCCCGGTTCCAGCTCTTGATCACGTTTTGACGGGAAAACCCCCTTTCACACTCGACTGTGCTCAGCGGCAACACAGCCACAGCCACCCACAGCTTCACAAAGTTCGGGTACGCGTCTTTCCAGTCGGGAGTCTGGAGCATCGCGGTCAAGCCAGCATGAAAACCCTTCTGTCTTGGGGGCAGCAGCACGGACGGGGCAGAAGTTGCGCAATTCTTTGATTGCTTTGCGCTTGTCAATCCCTGCACAACGACCAAGGGGGCACGGAGGAAACACAGTTCTAAAGTCTGCTACGTTCAAGCGCATAACAAACTTTGAACAATGCAAGCTCAAAAGGAGAAACAAAACATCACAAGTGGGAGGGGGGTGGAAGTGGAAGGGAAGGGGGGTTTGTTGAATACAAAAGAGACGCACCTGGCAGAATCTCGTCCACCTGCTGCGCCCGAAACATGGTGACCGGAGACATCAGATTTTCAAGGCACAAGGCATTGCGCTCCTGCCTTGCGGGTGGCCAGCCATCAGAGATGAAGAGACGGCAGCCCGACAAGTTGTCCAGGTCCCCTAGCCTATCCAGTAAGCTCTGAACCATGGCCTCCGCCATGGCAGTACAAAGGTCCACGCCACGGTTGTGGGTGAACGGCCCCTCGTAGCCTTCCAGCGGGTCATCGTGAAGTAGGTATGTGTGGGTGACCGGCCGCCCGTCAGCGTCCATGCCTTGCACCGTCATGTGGCGGGTTCCACCTTCGCCGTGGAGCCTCAGGAACTTCACCTCATGGAGAGCCGCTCGCTAAGACCTCCACCGAAATCGTCGCCGCAGTCGACGTAACGAGATTCGATGAAGCGGGTGGTGCGGGCGATCTGGGACTGGACGCTGGCGATGTCGGGTTGCAAGTAACAGACAGGGGATATTAGACCCTATGTACTCTACTAAACATACACAAATATATTTGACACAATCCCTAGAATAGATAGGGGCAGAGCCTAGTGAGAGACAAACAGCTCAGGGTGGCACTACTAGTCCAACCTCTGAGGCAGGGGTCTAAAGACCAGTCAAGAGAGTACAAACAAGGCAAGAACAAGACAAGGGCAGCTCTACTAGTCCAGCCACTTGGAGGAAACCACAAGGCCAGTCAGGATAATATATATAAAGAGTTATACACAATCAAGGTCGTAGCAAATTTGGTGCTACAGGAACGAGTCCAAGCTGTACATAGTGCCGCTGATGATCTTTACGCGCAAGCGCCTTCGTAAAGATATCAGCTGTGTTGGCAACGGAGGCCAAGTGTACTACGCGGGACTGGCGACGCTGCTGCTGTAGCTCGCGCAGGAGGAAGTACCGCAGCTGGATGTGCTTCGCTTTGGCCTCAAGTCTGGGCTCCTGAAACAGGAGGATCATGGCCCTGTTGTCAGCGTACAGGACCGGGGCAGAGCTAGGCCGCTCACCTAAGTCTATGAGCAAGAAAGTCAGCCAGCGGAGCTCCTGTGCCGCCATGGCACCGGCATAGATCTCAGCCTCACAGCTAGACTGGGCAACAGACAAAGAGCGGGTGGACCTTCACGAGACATCACCTGCACCAAGGCTAAAGCAGTAGCCATGGGAGGACCTGAGAGTCTCGGCGTCGTCTGCCCAAGGAGCGTCTCTGTGCCCGGTAAGGACCACTGGTCTGCGTCCTCTTAGCATTAGCCCCATGCCCGATGTACTTGCTAGATAATGCAGAACCCTCTTAGCTGCAGACAAGTGCTGTGGACGGTGTCTGCCGGAGGCCACAAAGCGGGCCAGGATGCTGAGAGGGTATGCAAGATCTGGACGAGTGCAAGTCATCAGGTACACGAGGCAATCCACCAGCTCTGCATAAGGACCACTAGGCTCTACAGCCTCCTCCAGGACTGGAGCGAAGAGTCTGTGGTCTACTGGCAGAGGGGTGGGCTGTACAGAAGAGAACTGGAGGCAAAAACTCTGAAGGACCTGGCGCACCAAGTGTGACTGTGTGAGATCTGCAAGCCAAGGTTGCGGCGCAGCTCTCCTAGGTGTGTGCAGGTGTATCCCTTCAGCAGCTCGGCCTTCACGGAAGACAGCGCGTCTCTGTCACCAGTAGCAAAGACCAGATCGTCTACGTAAACAAGGATGTAGAGCGGAGTCTGGCCAGAGCGAACGAAGAGCGAGGGGTCCGCAAACGACGGGAAGAACTACGGGTTAGCAAGCGTAGCACGCAGCGTGTCGTGCCACTCAACGGGCGCATGGCACAGGCCGTAGACAGGGCGTCGAAGCAGCCAGTCAGTACCAGGGGGAAAGGTACCAGAGAAGCCCAGGGGGCAATGCAGGTAGACCTGCTCGTGTAGACCGCCCTGGAAGAAAGCTGTGGAGAAGTCGAGTGAGTGCAGCTCGTAGTCACGTTGTGCTGCTACGTGTAGTAGTACCCGAAGAGTAGTCATCTTCAGGGTCGGGGCGGCGGTCTGAAAGAAGTCAACCCCCTCATGCTGACTGAAGCCACGAGCAACGTAGCGCGCCTTGAAGACAGGCGGCTCTCCAAGGGGGCGCTTCACCTTGAAGAGCCATTGGTCATCGACTACGTTCACCCCAGGTGGGGGAACTGCGTCGACGAAGGTACCGGTGGATCTCCAAAATGCCATCTCCAGCTCCATGGCAGCTATCTTCTAAGAGGTCCTGGGTCCCGAGGTGGCCTCAGCGTAGGTGCGAGGGGCCGGGATGTCAAGGGCGTCTGGGTCACCCTCAGGGACTAGCCGCATGGAACAGATATGGGGAGCAGCCTCTGACAGAAAAGCAAGCTCGTATTGTCTATCCTCTAGGACGCCACTGCCAAGGGCAGCCACACCCCCGACGGACGGAGGACAGACAGGGTCACAGACCAGAGCAATGGCGTAGTCAAGGCGGCGGGTAGCGGCGAAGTCACCGACAGCAGCGACAAGATGGTCAAGGCTCCAGACAGGAACAGACGGGTCGATAACGAGGGAGGCAAGGATACGAGGAACAAGGGGATGCGCGGCACAGAGGAAGTCAGATAACGGAGGCGGGGCCATAGCGAGCGACGACAGAGGAGGAGACAGGAGGAGCGGAGGAGCACGAGACGCGTGAGAGCAAAACAAGATACGGTGAGAACGCGGAACAGGGGAGGTAGGACGAGCACGAGACGGAAGACGAGCCCAGACATGAGACGGAGGAGTCAGGTCAGGAGAGTTGGGAGGAGACATAGGAGGAGAACGAGGAGGGAACCGAGCCAGAGAAGAGTCCACGGGAGGAAACAGAGGGCCGTAGACCGGCAGAGGAGGAGGCGGCAGCGACGGAGGAGGCACCTGTGGGCGGTCAGGAGAAGGAAGGCCGAGGTGGCGACTACGACGACTGCTGCCCGACTGCAATACCTGAACCTCCAGCAGTACCACGGCTCCCTTCGGGAAGCCCCACGCCAGCACCCCCAGAACGGGAACCCACTCCAGCACGCTCCCCAGCACCCCCAGAATGCACAAATCCCAGCGGCGGTGACAACGACGACTGCGGCTGCGGTTGCGACGGCAGCTGCGGAGGCGGCTGCGGCTGCGGCTGTGACAGCAACGGCGGCCACAGGGGAGGAGAGACCGGGGCAGGGACAGGCGGGGGAAGGGACTCCGCCGAGCCGCGAGAGTCAGCAGACCCCTCGGCAGGGACAACCGACGGGAGGGGGGTGACGTGAGAGACACCAGATGGGGCAGGGCGAGGAGGTGGGGGAACAGGGGCGACCGGGGGAGAAGGGGGAGCCAGGAACTGGGGGGGGTGACCGGGGGACCACGGTGGAGAAAGCGGTGGTAGAAGGAAACGGACTTGTCAAAGGTGACGTCACGAGAGTGAAAGAAACGGTGAGACGGCGGGTAGTAGAAGTGCCAGTCAAACGAGTCGAGGGGGAAACCTAGAAAGACGCAGGGGACGGTGCGGGCAGTGAGCTTGTCCGTGCCAGATGCACGAACGTGAGCAAGGCAGCCCCAGACGTGGAACGCAGACGCATCACCAGAAGACCCGGTCTAGAGGAGAGTCGATGAAACCAGCGGCCGCTGAGGGTGCGGCCACAGGTTAAGCTGGTGGGCGGCGTAGCGAACGGCGAACGGCCACAGAAAATGGGGTGCACCGGCATGGATCATGGAGGTACGAGCCACCTCCATGACCATCCCGATGCGTCGCTCAGCGACCCCATTCTGCTGCAGGGAGTCCGGTAGGGTGTACGTCTGGGTGATGCCCTCTGCATGACAAAAGCGACCAAGGCAGCCAGAGGCGAACTCGCCACCACGGTCAGAGTGAATACGCAGCACAGGGAGACCTCGGTGCACACGCTCAGAGAGAAGCCACGGGATAAGAACGTCAGGCACGTCGGCCGTCCGCTCCAGGGGAAACACGGTGGTATAGCGAGTGTATTTGTCGACAAGCACTAGGAAGTAACACTCACGACTTGGCCCATGGACGGGGGCAGGGCCCCAGACGTCCATGTGCAGGATCTGCAGCGGTGCGGTGGTGGGGGGTTATGAG